GTACATTTTGAATTTCTTCATATAAGGTTATAGATTTATAAATGGTGGGTTTTAGTGCACTTCATATTGGCTTAAGACATACTTTTAATTGAGTAGGACAAAAACTATTATAAATGGCATTTATTAATTCAGAGACTATTGCAATATTTAGTCTATGAAATATTTTGAATACACATCTCTTCTGTCAGTGAACTCAGCGGTGGCAGTGTGTGAACTCACTGTGTTCCATCTGGATGACTACATCAGAACTCTGTTCTGCATGTGTATATATGCCAAATTGTCAGCAGGACAGAAGTGACAGATATTATTTTTGTACATTTAAAAAACTTTTGTTGCACATAAAGTTCTTTATTTGTGCAGATCTGTCTTCAAACTCATGGAGGTAAGTACTTCACATTTGTAACCTATGAAGTATCAGCATCAGCCAGTGTGACAGAGTGGTGGAAGTCAGAATTCAGCAATGAAAGCACCGCAAGAGCTACCTAGTTCTACTTTGCCTAGAAAGCATCACGGATTTATAGTTTTGGCGTTAGCTCTGCAAAAGCATAACATTTCCCATTATCCTTTCCTAGATCCCTTGATAATGCACTCAGATAGTGCTGGGGTGGTGGTGACAGTGTATCCTTTGGTCTTCTACGATCCATGTGGATGTGGGTTTCCTGTGTGATATGAAAGCCATTTGTATGTCAGTCTCACTTTGTTCCTCTGCAAAGCAAAGCCTGTGTAAGGTAGGAGTGTTCAATGAGATGACACAGCTCTCTCTGGGCAAAACTGGGCCTCTTTGTCCCTCAGTAGCATCCTCGGGCTTCTCCTTCTGGATGGAGACTCTTGTATTTACAGGAGTATGTAACTGTTGGAGCCTTAAATGCCTAATTTCTCTCCAGACTTTTACTAGTGACTCTACCCCCAAATTTTTTTCATTAAGTATATTGGTACATTTCATGTATACAACATGAGGACATTCATCATTGGGAATGTGTACCTTTACATGATGTATCTTGGATACTTTTTCTCCATTCCCCTGCTCTCCCTTCAACCCCTCCACCCCTCCCTATTTACAAAGATCTTGTTTCTATTTTTTCCTTTTCTTTCTTTCTTTTCTCCTATCCCTCCTACCTCTTCCCCTTTAGAACTTTTCTTCCTGTTTCACATTACCTATTATATATTTTGACTCTTATTTACACTTTCAATTTCTCACACCAGGGAAACTTCAATATTTGCACATGAGTTCTACTTATTTCACTTAAAGAGTATGGGCTCAATGTGCATTCATTTAGCTATAAATGTCCCTAGTTTCTGATTCTTTATGGCTGAGTAGTACATTTTATAAAAAAAAAACAAAAACAAAACTCACATCTTCTTTATCCAGTCTCCAGCTGATGGGTAAATGGGCTGTTCCCAAGCTTTAGCTATTATAAAATGTGCTGCTATAAACATGGGTGTGCACATATCACTGTGGTATGATTCTTTTAATTCTTTTGGGAAGATAGCCAGCAGAGGAATAGCTGGGTCAAATAGGACCTCTAATCCTAGTTTTCTGAGGTATCTCCGTATAGATTTCCACAATGGTTGCACCAATCTGCTCTCCTGCCAACAGTGGAGAAGGGTTGCTTTCTCCCTGCAACTCTGCCAGAATTCGTTATTGGTTGATTTCTTGATTGCAGCCATTCTTTCTGGGGTGAGGTGGACTCTCAGTGCTGTTTTCATCTGCATCTCTTGACTGACCAATGATGCAACATTTTTTTGTGTGTTTATTTGCTGCTTTTACTTGTCTGAGAAATGCCTATTCATTTCAGATGCCCATTTTTGAATTGGATCTTTATATTTGAGGGGGTCTGATATTTTAAGTTCTTTATATATTCTAGATAGTAGTCCTTTGCAGAACAGCTGATAAAAGTTTATTCCCACATTACAGGTTCTCTTAGCTCTATTGGTAGTTTCTCTCACAGTGTAGAAGCTTTCTGATAAGATGAGATTCCAGTTGTTGATTCTCTCTGCTAGTTCTCATGCTACCAAGGTTTTGTTCATAAAGTCTTTTCCTATGCCGATGTCTTCAAGAGTTCTACCTAACTTATCTTCCAGCAAGTTTAGTGTTTCTGTTTTAATATTTAGGTTTTTAATCCACTTTGATTTTAGTTTAGTGCATGGTGAAAGATAGGTGTCTAGTTTTAGTCCAGATTCTTTTTTAATTTAGGTTTTTAATCCACTTTGATTTTAGTTTAGTGCATGGTGAAAGATAGGTGTCTAGTTTTAGTCCAGTTTTTCCAGCACCATTTTTAAAAGGCAATCTTTCCTCCAGTGAGGGTGTTCGGCTCATTTGTCAAAGATGAGGTAGCTGAGTATGTCTTGAGTTGTTGCTGCATCTTCTAATCTATTCCACTGATTCTCAGGTCTCTTTCTTTGCCAGTACCATGCTGTTTGTTTTTTTTTAATCACAGTGCCTTTGAGTATAATTTCAAGTTGGGGATTGTGATACCCCTCTGTCATATCTTTGTTGCCTAGAATTGCATTTGCTATTCTAGGTCTCTTCTGGTTCAAATGAATTTTTGGATTGTTTTGTCTAGTTCTGTAAAGTATACTGTTGGGATTTCAATTGGGATTGCAATGAATCTATATAGCAGCTTTGGAAGTATGGCAATTTTTACTATATTGGTTCTTCCTTCCCAGGAACAAGGGATATCTTTCCATTTTCTGATATCCTCTTCCATCTCTTTTTTCAGAGTGCTATAGTTTTCAATGTAGAGGTCTTTTACTTCCTTCATTAGATTGATTCTTAGACATTTCACTTTTTGGGAAGCTACTGTGAAAGGAACGGTTTTCCCAATTTCTCTATCAGTGAGTCTGTTATTTGTGTACAAAAAGACTATTGATTTTTGAGTGTTAACCTTGTGTCTGGCTACTCTACTGAATTTGTCAATTAAGATTTTTAGCATAGTTGTGTCTTCTATATAGAGTATCATGTTACCAGCAAATAATGACAGTTTAACTTCTCCTTTCCTATATTTATTCCTTTTATTTCTTTCTCTTGTCTAACTGCTGTGGCTAATATTTCCAGAACTATACTGAACAGGAGTGGTGATAGTGCACATCCTTGTCTTGTTACTGATTTTAGCATGAAAGCTTTCAGTTTTTGACCATTTAGTATGATGTTGGCTTTTGGTTTTTCATAGGTAGCCTTTATCAGATTGAGATCAAGACCATTTATTCCAATTTTCTGCAAGGTTTTTATCATGAATGGTGTTGGATTTGTCAAATGCTTTTTCTACATCTACTGAGATGATTGTATGGTTATTGTTCTCAAATCTGTTAATATACTGTACTACATTTATTGATTCATGTATGTTGAACCATCCTTGCATCCCTGGGATGAATTTCACTTGATCAGGGTGTACAACAATCCTCTGTATTCTGTTTGCCAGTAACTTACTAAGGATTTTTGCATCTATATTCATTAGGGAGATTGGCCTGTGGTTCTCTTTTTTGGTTGGGATTCTACCGAAATTTCTATGAATTCAGTGTCTGTCTTTTACTGAGTTGTCAGAATCCACATCTTCAGTCTTTGCAAACAGTAAAAATCCTGGGCAGTCTGCCACTGGTGATCCAGTTTGTTCATAGAGGTTTTAGTCCATAACTGGATGGCTCCAAGGCAGGGTAGGAGAGGGGCAACAGTTCATGGCATCTGAAGACAGCAAAAGCCAGGATTCTGGGTTTTAATCAAGTACATTATGGTTCCAAAGTCATTTACCATCCCGCTGAAACTTTTAATCCAAGACTGTAAAATATCTGTTCAGTCCAGGAGAATTCACTAAAATCCAAAGCTGTAGTATTTTCTTGAGAGAAGTCTATTTTTTTGGAGTGGGGAAGTTATGAAGGAACTCTACTGGGACTTTCTGAATATACCATATTAGAACTTTTACAGTATAACCCCTAAATGGGGCTATACTTAGATGGTGAGTTCACTGTGTAGAAGATAGTAGAAATAGAGAAGCTGAGCAAAATTAGCCTTGGAGCAGGGGAATAAAAAAGAGAAATGATGACCAAAGTGGACTGCCTTGATGAGGGAGAACCTAGAGCTGAAGGGCTATTCAGGAGTCCATAGTTCTAATCTTATCTAAACATTCTAAGGCCTTCAACCAGACTAGTGGTGATGTGAAACAAAAAATGAGAAGAGACTCTATATCATAATGGTAAAGGAATCAATGCTGGCCGCTGGGTGTAGGGAATGAAAAACAAGTACTCAACAATAAATTTGGTAGAGTAAGGGTGGTGGTGCCAATGCCAGACTTATGAGAATGTGGGGTTCTGCTTTTTGTTTTTGTTTTTAGAAGGCTTGAATTAATTTTGGATTTATCCATGGAAATGGTCAATAATAATATGGGACTAGGATTCAGAGGAATGAAACAAGGTAGGATTGAGATCATCATATAGCTAAGCTCTGAAATTGTTCCTAAGGAAGAGAAAGAATAGAAGGCCTTAGTCAAAGAGATCTGGCTAGGAGTAATAAAGAAGAGCAGACTCAGGGAAAGCAGCAAGCATAAGGCTGATAAGTATTTGCAGGGGAATGGGGAAAAAATAAGAACCAAGATATGTCATATAAAGGTAAAAGGTCCCAATGATGAATGTAACTGTACTGTATACCTAAAATGTACCAATAAAGAAAAATAGAAAGACAACATTAAGAAATTGAAAAGCAAGAAAAAAAAAGTATTTGTAGAGCTAGGCTACTGCCATGCAACAGATATAAAGTGAAGAGGTTTCCTTTCATCATGTTCCAGATGTGGGTAACATCTGAAGAGAGCTAATGTCAATAGCAAAGCACAATGCTGTAGAAGCAAGAAAAGTGAGTTTAGAGTTATTCTACGTGACCTCTGTAGAGCCTAAATCTTCATCAGTTAGACTTAGCAAGACCCATGTAATGACTGATGGCAAATATTCACTGACACTATTGCTAGAGGGCAAGCTGGTAGGATGTAGCATTTCTCTAAGAGACGGGGACTTACCTAGCTCATCCCAGAGCTGCCTGCACTTGTCTGTCATGCTTGTTCCTTGCTGCCTCCAGAGTGTGAGCCGTGGGTCAGCCATAAACTGCTCAGTTATAAGTGTCAGCATCCTGGCTCCATTGGAATCTCTCATCCGCAGCATCTCTCGAACCTGACATGTAAGGAGGGGCAAGAGATGGTGACTGCATAGCATAAAAAAGCAGGAGAAGGAAGGGAAGTGGGGTAAAGAGATGAGGTATTTGAGTACACTACATCCAAAGAGCAGAAAGAAGGTGTCTTCCTCTCTCAGCAAGAGCTCTTCATATAACAAGAAAGTTTATTTGCATAATGAGATGCCACTTCACACCCACTACCATGGCTAGAATAAAAAAGTCGGAGAACAAGGGTCAACAAGGATGTAGAGAAATCAGAAGCTCATTTGCTGTTGGTGGGACTGTAAAATCATACAGCCACTTAGAAAAAAACTGTACAGAACTTGTACAAGAGTATTTATGGTAGCAGTAGTCATAATATCCAAAAGGTACAAATAATCCAAATGCTCACCAACAGACAAATGGATAAATAAAATGTGTAGTATCCATACAATGGACTATTATTCAGCCATAGAAAATGAAATTAAGTACTGATTTATGCTATAACAAAGAGGAACCTAGAAAACACAGGACTAAGTGTAAGAAACCAATCTATGATTCTGTTCATGTGAAAGTCCAAAATAGAGAAACCAAGCCAGGTGTGGTGGCACATGCCCCTAATCCTAGCACTTTGGGAGGCTGAGGCAGGAGGACCGCAAATTTGAGCCAAGTTTCAGCAATTTAGTGACTTAGCAAGATTCTGTCTCAAAATGAAAAGTAAAAAAGGCTGGGGGTATAGGTTAGTGTGAAGGCCCTGGATTTAAGCCCTAATACCCATGATCGGGGGTGGGTATGGATAGTTGAGGGGAGGGAACCAAATCAACAGAAACTGAAGGTAGATTACAGATTACCAAAGGATGAAGGAGGAGGATAAGAGAGTATGATAGTTTAGAGTATTAGGTTTCTTTTTGAGTTGATGAAAATGTTCACTGTGGTAATGGCTACATATAACTGAATATACCAAAAACCACGGAACTATACACTTTAAATGGATGAATTGTATGGAATATGAATACATTTCATTAAAGGTATTAAGGCAGAAAAAAGCCTACTATGGCAGCTCCCAGTTTCAAAACACTAAGTCTCTTCAGGGACACTGTTGAAATGAGTCCTCAAAGCTTCACCAGGTAGCCTTATGTTCAAAGCAAAGAGAAGAGTTTCTATATTAAACTCCTCCAGTGAGGTTAGCTTATTCAGAGAATATAACAGGAGAAACAAGATCCCCAGGGTGAAGTGGCAGGGATCCATGGATGTAGCCTGCTCAGCACCTCCTACTAGGTTTTAGGAATTCAGTACTGCTAGCTCAAGTGAGTTAGGCACAACACATGAAGCTATAAGTCTAGTGAATCTAGTTTTCTTAAAGTTTAAAACTAACCAAGCAATCAGCCAACTTCAACCAACTGTTCAACCAACCAACCAACCAACCAACCAAGCATTTTATATCTTACCTTGGCAAACATTGAGTTGAGTTGCTTTCCAGAGCCATAGTAACCCCCCTGGGAGAGAAAGAGCTTCACTTGTTCTTTCACCTGTTCTTCATCCAAATGCCAACAGTTCTCATCATCAATGCTTGCCCCTGCTGTTGGGTCAGGGGCACCTGTGAGGCATGGGAAAAGTGGAGTGAATCCCCTGAGATTACATGCTACACATTCAGCTGGAGGGGTGCTTTGTGAGCATATTCAAATGCACTTAAATTATTCTACTTTAATATGGGCTTTATCAACTCAGAGCCTAAATAAGTATGAGTCTAATGCTTGTTTCACGTAAGTCAGAGTTGTATCTTCTCCTAAGGTCTAAGAATACCACCCAGGGGAGACGAGCCTGGAAGGAAATATACATGTGATACTAAGAAATATGTACTTAGTCTTTGTCTTGTTTCCTGGCACATGACTCCCTAAATTCTTGTCTTTTTATATGCTAATGAGTCGACTAACTGTTGGCAGCTCCTGTACAACTTCTGGATAGGTGCTGTTCATCAAGGCAGATGCAGAGGGTTGGAACTTTCAGTCCTATACCCATAGAAAGGCAGAGGGGTTGAAGATTAAGTTGATCAGCATGGCCACTAAATTAATCAATAATGCCTTTGTAATGAAGCCTCCATAAAGCCCCACAAAAATAAGATTTATAGAAATTCCAAAGGTGGAACATGGAGAGGTTTCTTTACAGTGACCCTGGAAGGATGGGAGGGACAGTCTTGGGAACTGAGACCTTAACCTATCAGATCATATGGTACCGTTAGGTAGCCAGTGTCAAAACTGAGTTGGATTAGAAGACATACAGTTGGTATCTTCTACAGAAATGATTATTTTCTCAGTGTATGGGGAAAAACCCTATATATTTGGTCACAGAAGTATTCTGTATTGTGTTTTGAGAGTATATTAGGAGAAATTGAGTTTGTTTTTCCTCTGTACCCTCAAAATACAATTTTTCCCCCAAGGATGGGACTTATTTTTGCTTTTCTATGAAGTTCAAATATATTTTAACATACATGTATTATTTTAAAGCTAAAATACTTTCTTAGAACATAAAAATTTCTATTTTTAAAGGTTACTATGAAACTGCTGCTTAAAATGCAGAGTTGTTCATGGAGTGATATAATTTTATAAATTTTTACTGAAATTAACTTTCCCATCTGGGCTCACCTCAACACTACCACTTAAAACACAGTTGTTATTTAACATATTTTTCTTTTTTAGTAATCTGTTGGCCCACTGCTCATAGTTGAACCCAAAACTGTGTCACTTATAACACAGTGCTGGAAATGTGACAGGTATTTCAGAAATGTTTTTTGAAATGAAAATGGAATCTTTTTCTCTCACTGTCTTATAGACAGAGTCTGGTTGCAAGTTTTTAGAAACTTGCATCCAAGTGACAATAGACAGACTATAAGTCAACACTCTGTATGTGCAGTCACACAATAAGTTATAAATTCATATCCTATTTGTCAGTTAGTCTGCCTTTTTCCTTGTCTACCCATTCAGAGCACTGCTTAAATAAAAACTGGGGTCTGAGAAAAAAAAGCCGCTCTTCTGTTAAGGTTTTTAATGTGTCTTACTTCTCTGGGAGCTTAGGAAGCTTCACACATTCATTCATTCAACAAATCTAATTAACACATATGATCTGCCTATTTATGGTATCTATTGTATGCTACTTTTCTTTAAATTTTAAAAATTCTAAACATAGTTCTAATCATATCATTTCCCTGATCTAAAATCTTCAGTGATGCTCTACTGTTATTAAAGTAGGTCCCAATGCTTTGTTTGGCATTCAAAAGCTCTCTATGCTTTGGCCCTATCTTTCATTTCAAGCCTTGTTTTCCCTATACTGGTGCTGTTCAACCCAGAATTAATATTCCCAGAAGTCAACGACATTTCCTGTGACTTATATTTTCCCCTTTACTTCTACCCTGTTACCTTTAACCTGTACTTTGGCAAAATAATAATAAAAAATACTTTATATAAAAAATAAATAACTCTAGAGTCAGGGTCATAGTAAGAAATGGAAACCTTAAGTATTCAGTGAGGCTAACACTGCTGAGGTCCAAGTAATGCTTAGTTCACTTGGATAGGATTTTTTTATTCTCTCACCAAATTAGTATATACCCCATCTTATGAAACATACCCATCTTGTGTTTGTAATTCAGCATATAAAGGCAATATACTGTATAATGTACTTTATTATTATTATTTCTGCTACCTTTTACTTTAGTTTAGAATTGTGCATTTCTTATGTATTTCCAACTAAATTGAAAAAAATTTTAAGAATAGATTCATGACACCTGCTTCATTATAGTATTATGCTAATATTTATAGACTTCATTTCATAGTACTGAATTCATTTACAGAATAAACAAATATGTGTTTTATTGTCCATCTGGACATAAACTTCAAGTGGGCAATTACTAAACCTATACTTCTTTTGTATCCTGAAAATAGCAATACAAAATTCCTTATTCTTAAATATTTGTTATAATAACATGCACTCAGTCCTTCCTACATGGCAGAGACTAAGCAGTTTATACACATATGACCACTAGACTGAGTGCTTATTGAGGGCAAACAGCTTTGTTTGCTGGCGTATTTGTGACGTGGAGAAAAGTGCCTGGGCATAGTGGTAGTCAATAAATATTTGTTGAATAAATTCCAAGAAACTCTCTTAAAAACTCTATAGGGTGGTATTATTATTTTAGTTTTTAAGTGAAGAAATTAAATTTAGAAAGGGTAAGTAACTTAATAGATAGAAAATTATACGGCAGAATCTAATGTGTGTTGGTCCTCTCTAAAGCCTGTGCTCTTCACTACAAGTCTATACATACTTTAGCTTCCAGCTCCATGCTGCTATAACCCACCAGCTGGTTTCAGTCCTCTAAATGTAAGTTGATGGTGTGTCTGAAGATAGATCCCATTCTTTCTTGTACTATTCTATTATCTAAACTACAGGGTTAGTTAGAATAATGCATTTTCCCATATGAGGATAAATAGAATTCTTACCATAGATTCTCAAATGTTAACAAACAGAATAACCATTTGAGGTTTGTGTTTAAAATGCAGATCATAAAGTCATACATCTAAGGATTGTGCTTTTCAGTAGCTCAATAGAGACAGAAATGAGATGAACTAAGTTAAACAAAGGACTGGGTTTCAGAGTACCTTGGAGCTAAGGTTTGGGTGAGGAAAGAAAAGCAATGGTGCTCCAGAAGCAGAGGACAGAGGTGGTTTGAAAACCAATTTTCACCCTTGGATGATTCAATTAGGATATGAAAAAGCAGGAACAGGACCCAGTATCCCAGGAGAGCTGGCCTTAATCAACTGGCTAGAAGTGTGGGGTGACACCCTCTCTAAGAATTTGAAAGGATATGAGGCCCATGTAGTGGTGGTCACAGTAGCTGTGGAAGAAATAAATCATAATTTATAAATATCTAGTGTGCCAGCTGTAGAACCTTGCCAGAATAAGAGAAAGCCTTGAGGGTTACTAAGAGTAAAATTTCACCTACAACTTCAGAAGGACTTGTTTACTTGATAGGTGAGAAAGGAAGGTATATGTTGGAAATGTTTGCTGGTCTACAATGGACCTAGAAGACAAGAAACTGAGCTGCCAAAATGGGTGGTTGCTGCAAAAAAGAGAATAAGTCAATAATGGGGAGTCCAAGTAATAAACTACAAAGAACTGGTGTAACTGTTGAGGCAATCAAAGTCATCTGGAAAGAATATGAACCAGGAAGAGGCCTCACAAAAGATTATCTAAGACATTTCTATTTATTTAATCAACATTTATAGAAAGCCTGATATATAACAGAACCTGTGTCAAAATAGTGGTGAATAAAGCTTATATCGTCCCTGTCCTCAGAGAGCTAACAGGCTATTTGGGAAGACAGAGGTTAAGCAAATACTCACTTGTACTTGTTGGGTGGGGGAGTTGCTGGGGATTGAATCCAGACCCTGGCACACAGTATTAAGTGCCTTACCACTGAGCTACTTCCCCCATCCCCCTATATATACTATTTTTTCTTTGGAAAGAAAGATGGGTCAAAGAAGGTTCAGAAAGAGTGACATTTAAGATGAAACTTGAGGAACGACTAAGTCTGGCATAGAGTAGGGGAAACATTTTTTGATCAAAATTTAAAAACCATACAGAGCTGGGTATGGTGGTGTATATCTGTAATCCCAGAACTCTGGGAGGCTGAGGAAGAGAATCATAATTTGAGTCCAGCCTGGGCAACTTAACAAGTCTATGAATCACAAAAAAAAAAAAAAAAAAAAGGCGGG